TCATCGTCGTCGCCAGTATCGCTACTGTCATCATCGTGTCTGCCGTTGTCGACGTCGCCATGGTATCGCGCCCGCCCGAGTCACCAATTGTACTGAAGTGCCCGCGCGTCAGCGCGGCGTGCGAGACGCGCTGAGAAGTGCCCGGCGGCCAGCGCCACCGCGGTCGCGTCGGTCTCGCCAGGCTAGAGCTGGCCGCTCGGCGCGCGAGCCGGCGCGCGCCTGCGCGCCCGCGGCGATGCGCAAGCCAGAGCCAGACAGGCATGGCAATCACCGCCTCGTGGGTTCTGCAAATCAGATTGCGGGTGGTCTGGTGGGGTGATTGCGCGGGCAGTGGAGGTGACTACTCCTTGCGAACAGATTTTTCGGAGCTGCCCATCGAACGCAGTACATCCAGCGCCGCATACACTGCACCGCTTTCATTGGACCCCGTGGTTTGCAGCGCATATGGTGCCCTACGTATGTTCTGCGATCTAGGCCACAATCCGTAGCTCACGTTGCACAGATTACATCACGTGGGCTACACCGCGTAGATTGCACCAATTTTCTTTTCTTAGAGAAGGCAGATTACACAACTTTTTCCTTGGTGGAGTTAACGGTTCGCCCTGGGGATGTGCAATGTACGCATGGTTGTGTCCCATCGTTCATTCCCAGAAGTAATTCATACCATCTTGGCCCAGCCGGTATCGACCCCCTCCCGTTGTTCTCAGACATGCACAATGTGCGCGCGTGCTCGTTAATCGAGAACCACACATGTTCACAGTTTTATTACAACAAGCGGGACGACATGCACGCGCGCGCGACGTCCCGTGCGCATGCCGAAATCTTTTAAATTCTAGAACCAACCATAGGTGTTGCATGGTGTGTCAGCACCGATTGTCCCGCATCTATATATATATATATATATATATATATATATATAATATATATATTATATATATAATATAATATACATATACATATACACATACATATATATATATAGCCCTGCGCACCCACCAAAAACCCCCCTTTCTCATGATTACATATGATTTTACATATGATTCCTACGATTTTCGGACTCACTTTTGAGGCTCTTTTTGGGAAGACTTTTGGGCTCCCTTCTACTCAACTCCCTCCGTCTCCAACACAACACCCAGTACTCAACAGCGTCCTTCTCCAACACAACACCCGATACTCAACAGGCTCCCTCCCCAAGCTGAACTTGAAAAGAACCTTCTACTCAACTCCCTCCGTCTCCAACACAACACCCAGTACTCAACAGCCTCCTTCTCCAACACAACACCCGATACTCAACAGGCTCCCTCCCCAAGCTGAACTTGAAAAGAACCTTCTACTCAACTCCCTCCGTCTCCAACACAACACCCAGTCAACAGCCTCAAACACAACACCCGATACTCAACAGGCTCCCTCCCCAAGCTGGACTTGAAAAGAACCTTCTACTCAACCCCCTCCGTCTCCAACACAACACCCAGTACTCAACAGCCTCTTTCTCCAACGCAACACCCGCTACTCAACAGGCTCCCTCCCCAAGCTGCACCAAGAACCCCCCTTTCTCATGATTGTATATGAATTTATATATGATTCCTACGATTTTCGGACTCACTTTTGAGGCTCTTTTTTGGAAGACTTTTTGGGCTCCCTTCTACTCAACTCCCTCCGTCTCCAACACAACACCCAGTACTCAACAGCGTCCTTCTCCAACACAACACCCGATACTCAACAGGCTCCCTCCCCAAGCTGGACTTGAAAAGAACCTTCTACTCAACTCCCTCCGTCTCCAACACAACACCCAGTACTCAACAGCCTCTTTCTCCAACACAGCACCCGATACTCAACAGGCTCCCTCCCCAAGCTGAACTTGAAAAGAACCTTCTACTCAACTCCCTCCGTCTCCAACACAACACCCAATACTCAACAGCCTCCTTCTCCAACACAACACCCGCTACTCAACAGGCTCCCTCCGTCTCCAACACACACATGTACTCCAGATCCTACCACTACAACACGGCGCGACACCCGAAACTCCAACCGCAGCCGCCCCCTTTTTTCTTGGCATCTTCCAAGAGAAAAGGGGGGTTCATGGTGGGTGCGCCGGCCTATATATAGATATGTGTGTGTATATATATATATATATATATCATATTTATGTTTATATATATAAAGCGCGCTGTTTGGCAACCAGACTTTTCAATCAAGGTATTCGCGTGCGCCCTTTCGAACTCTTGAGAAGACCTTCGGTTTTCATTGTTGTTACTGGAATCGTCCAAACGGGCTTTGCGCGCGCGCATGTCGAAATCATTCGGCCGCCATAGCGCGCGTGCAAGGGGGGCACTAGCGCCACTTGTGCCCGTCGGCCGCGCGCGCATGCCGAAATCTTTTGCGCGACCTTCATCGCCGACGCGTGGGTGCGCTCATCGTCATCGGCGTGATCAGCGTCGGTTCCGTCGTTGGCCTTGCCGTTTTCATCGTCATCGTCATCCCTAGCATCGCTGCAATCACCATCGTGTTTGCTGTTGTCGACGTCGCCGTGGTACCGCGCCCGCCTGGGTCACCGATTGCCTTGAAGTGTCCGCGCGTCAGCGCGGCCTGCGACACGCGCTGGGGAGTGCCCTGCGGTCAGCGCCACCGCGGTCGCGTCGGTCGCGCCAGACTTGCTGGCCGCTGTGTGCGCGAACCTGCGTGGACTAGCGCGACCGCAGCGATGCGCCAGCCAGCGCCAAACAGGCACTTCGATCGCCGCCGCATTGGTTTGGCAAGCCCAATTGCGGGTGGGTGGGTTGGATGATTTCGCAAGCAGTGGATTTGATATTTCACTGCGAACACACACATATATATACATGTATATATATATATACATATATATATATATATATATGCATATTGCGCTACGTAAATTGCACCGAGTATTCTGCACCACGTTGGCTGCACCACATACATTGCGCCAAGTGCGTTGCACCACGTAGATGGCACCATGTGACCTGCACAGCGTAGCTATTTTTCCCGATCAGTAATTCGGATCTGCCACCGCCTCCGTGGAATAACCAGTTTTTTTTTTTTTTTTTTTTTTTTTTTTTTTTTTTTTTTTTTTTTGTTTTTTTTGTTTTTTTTTGTTTTTGTTTTTCCGTATTGTCATTTGCAAATGATTCTGCCCACATCGTCCATCGCAAATATGAATTCGAAGCATCCCAGCCATGCCGGTATCGACGCTCCTTGCCATTCCCCCTGCAAGAAAATTTTGCACGAGCATTCGTATATCTCAAATCATCAGTTTTCAAGAATCCCTTGTGGAAGCGAGGGAACGAAGTGCACGCGCGCGCGTCGTCGCGCGGGCATCCCGGAATTCTTCACAAACCGGAGATTTCGTGAGTCTTTCAACATCGAGTGTCCCGAAAACGTAGAAAACACGTTTGGTTTTGCAACGTCAGTTTCCCAACAAAAGTCTGCGCGCGTGCTCTTGCGAAGTCTATAGGTTCGTGCATATAGTTCGACCCAAACGGGCGTCTGGCGCGCGCATGCCGAAATCATTCGAACGCCTTTGCGCGCGTGTGTGGGGGGCACGGTCCCTGCCAAAGAATACCATGCGGGCCACCCTCCCGCGTCGACCGCGCGCGCATGTCGAAATCCTTTTCAACAGTTTCATCGCCGACTCGAGGACACCATCCATCATCGGCATCGGCGTGATCAGCATCGGCGCCGTCAGTGGCCTTGCCGTCGTCATCGTCAACGTCGTCACCATCATCGCTACTATCATCACCGTGTCTACCATTGTCGACGTCGCCATGATACCTCGCGCGCCGAAGTCAACGACTCGCATCGAAGTGCCCGCGCGTCAGCGCGGCCTGCGAGCTGCGCAGGTAAATGCCCAGCGGCCAGCGCCACCGCGGTCGCGCCGGTCTCTCCAGCGTAGCTGGCCGCTGTGCGCGCGAGCGTGCGCGGGCTAGCGCGACCGCAGTAATGCACCCGCCATCACCAAGCAGTCGTCGCAATCGCCGCCGCATTGGTGTTGCAAACCAAGTTGCGGGTGGGTGTGTGGGGAGACTGCGCGAGCAATGGGGTTCACAACCCCAAGTCTTTCAACATTCATCGCGCCACATAGATGACACCACGTAGTTTGCACCACGTAGACTGTGCCCCTCAGTATGGTATAACACTGTTTGGGGGGTCCACGTTGGCTAACTTATGTAGTTTGCGGTGCCCCAGCGGTATCGATACCCCCGGGGGGGGGTCGTGATAGAGTCCGTTCTTCTTTTGAGCTCACAGACTATGTGGCCCAATTCATGGGATGCGGGGTGTGCTGTGGAAGCTACGTGGTGCAAGTCAGGAGGGGCAAGCCATGTGATCCTGTCTGCGTGCCGAAAAGGCCAGCTGGCCAACGAGACCAGGCACGGGCACGGGCGAACACCGGGCGAGAGTCCAGCAGCGCCAGCCAGCGCAAGGGGCGGGCACGGGGCGGGCACGGGTGGACACCACGCGAACACCAAGAAGCATCAGCGAGCGCCAGGGGTGGGCGCGAGGCGGGCAGCAGGCAACAGGCAGCAGGCGAGCGCCCGGAAGCGCAGGCCACTTGTTCAGAATCAGGGCAGAATCCTCGAGCGGGTTCTGTTTGGGAAGAGGTGCGCCCCCGGGTGGCACTGCTTTTCTCCTGCACCTCTTCCATGAGCATGAATACCTCCATCCGCATATCCATCTCGACTTCTATCGCCGTCTCCTTCTCTGCCTCCGACTCCTCTTCATTTTGACCTGTGTTGTGTACGCGGGCAAACAGCTCGGCAGCCAGCTTAATACCAATTCGTGCCTCTGTCAGTTCACATGCGTATGGAAACAGGCGTCGCTCGCTGGGACGACGCGCAGAGACCCGGCAGCCTTTTTCTTAAATTTGCAGCGATCGTCTGAGAACCTCCTCCCCCGCCTCCTCTGTCTCCTCCTCCTCCTCCTCCTCCTCCTCCTCTTCATCCTCTTCCTCCTCCTCCTCCTCCTCCTCCTCCTTCCCCATCCTCCGTAGGCATTTTGGCTCAAGCTTTTCGGTTGAAGCAGCCAGGAGCTCATCAGGGGTTGCAGAGAGCGCGATACACTCTGCGCGAGCATGGACCTTTCCATGGAGCGTGCTGTTGGGGTTCGCCCGCGCCGCGGCGGCCGCCTGGCCTGCTGACCGCATCGCTGTGGCTTCATCTTCGCCATCGTCTCCGTGGCCGCGGGAGGGCGCTGGCGTCGACGCCAGAAGCTTCGAGGTAATCACAAGCGGCTATGTGGACGCACAGTCCTTCGCGCGACAGTTGTCTCCTCTGGGCTGGCAGCCAACAGATGCTGCCATGACGACTGGAGCTACGACCGAGACCACGACAAGCCTGGCCGATTACGTTCTGTTTGCACTTGGCGAGACGTGTGCGTCCGAGGGATACGAGGAATCTTAGATCCGGCGGGGGGTGTTTCAACGAGGCAGCTTTTTACATCGATGAGACCGCTGATTTTGACACTGAGGAACCAAGTGGCCCGTTCTCCTGTGTGTTTCGTTACGGGAAGCATTGCTTTGTCGACGGACTACATAATCACAGACCTCCATCACGACTGCAAGTACGACACCGAGACATCAAGCGCGACAGTGTCTTCCACGTCTGTTTCTAAAGCGTCTGGAAGCTCGTCGACCACTGGGAGTACGACATCCGAGACCTTAATCACGAGCGTGTCAACGAAAACAGAGACCTCCAGCACGACTTTGACTACGACGTCCAAGACTTCGAGCATGAGCGTGTCTTCCAGCAAGACACTGAGTTCTATTTCGGGCAGCTCCACTACAACTGCGACGACTACGCCGCATTACGTCTGGCTGGGTTTTGGCGATACGTGCGCGTCGCAGGGGTACGAAGAGATCGGAGGCTCGACCGAGTGCTTCGAGGATGCGAAGAGCAGAGTTACGGAGCTCAACAACGTGGCGCATCTGACAGTCAACAGCCCGTTTGCATGCGTGTTCCAGTACGGGGTGCTCTTCTACGGCGACGGAAAAGAGGGCAATGCCGACGTCCTGCAGCAATACGTCTGCAAAGGGCCCGACCAGATATCAACTACTACCAGGACGATGTGGAGTACGTCCGTGACAACAACCACCCAAACATACGACCCTTACAACGTCACATTCTCTATATACGTGACGCTCTTGCACTCTTTCAGGACGGATGTGCGCGGCGCTGGGGCGAGAGCCAAATTTTGAAGAGGACCCGCCCTCCATCTGTGAAGCTCTTGCAAACGTTTAAGACGAATGTGTGGCGCTGCGGCGAGAATCACATTTTGAAAAGGACCCGCCTTCCATCCGCGAAACTGTTGCACCTTCTGGGCGTCAGAATCAGAAAAGGTGAGGAAGTCTCAGGCCCTCCCTAGTAACACATCTCCGGGTGCGACAGGGAGGAGGTGTGTACAAGGACAGACAGACTGGAGGAGGACGAGGAGGAGCAGGGAGGAGGGAGGAGGGAACGAGGGAGGATGATGAGGAGCATGATGATGATCATTGTGGTGATGATGCTGCTGCTGATGGTGATGCTGATGAGGATTATTCTGACGACGACGATGGTGATGATGACGATGCTGATGATGATGATGCTTCGGCTGCTGCTGATGATGATGACGACGATGCGGGTGATGATGCTGATGCCGACTAGCATGATGCTAATGCAACTGATGCTACCGATAAGGTTGTTGATGATGATGGTGATGGTGCTGACGATGGTGATGCTGATGCGGATGCTGATTCTTCTGCTGCCGCTGATGATGATGCTGCTGCTGATGATGATGATGCTGCGGATGCGGATGCTGATGATGATGCTGATGCTGATGCTGACGACGATGATCATCATGACGATGACGATGACGACGACGATGATGATGATTCTGATGATGATGACGATGGTTATGATGATGCTGATGATGATGATGCTGAAGATGTTGATGATGATAGGAATGATGAGTATGATGGTGATGATGATATTGATGATGATGATGATGCTGACGATCATGCTGATGCTGCTAATGATGATGCTGATGCTGCTGATGATGACGATGATGACGACTATGATGATGGTGATGGTGATGATGCTCATGCTGCTGATTATGATGATGATGATGATGATGATTCTGATGCTGATGACGTCGATGATGCTGATGTTGATGATGCTGCTGATGATGATGGTTATGATGATTATGATTCTGGTCGTGCTGATGATGTTGAATGGTGATGATGAGAACGAAGCTAATGATCATGTCGACACTGCTGCTGCTGCTGAGGAGGAGGAGGCGGAGGGGCGGGAGGAGGACGAGGAGGAGAAGGAGGAGGAGGCGGAGGATGAGGAGGCGTAGGAGGAGGATGAGGAGGTGGATGAAAAGGAGGAGGAGGGGGAAGAGAAGGTACGGAGGAAGGGAGAAGGAGGTAATGGAGCGAACGAGGACGGAGGGATGGAGGAGGAGGAGGAGGAAGGAGGAGGAGGAGGAGGAGGAGGAGGAGGAGGAGGAGGCAGCAAGGGCACAGCCAAGCTCGGTGCCTTGGTGCACATCCCCCCCCATGGGGAGGAGACCGGTGCATCGTCCTCCGCCGCCGCCTCCGCCGAGCCGGCGGTCGTGCCCGACGGGGACTCGGAGGAGGACGGCCACCGCTGCGGCCCGTCCCACCTCATTTGCTCAAGTAAGATTCATGTTCGACTCATGTCCGACTTATGTTCGGCTCGAGTCGACTGGCTTTGGACGCAGCGTCGACGCACGAGTGGAGCGATCGAGTTCGGCAGGGTCCCCAGAAGGAGCATCCAACTCCCGTGGGCACTCAGCGGACGAAGACCGGTACAGAGCAAGCAGTTCCGCCCTCGTGGATGGCTCGTCCCAGGGCGGCGATTGGTCTATGCCCCTGCGATGGCTCGTATGGGTGTGAGCTCTCCAGGCGCCTGGGGACAGGCGTCCCCGATTCAGCAGGGAAAGCACACAGACACAATGAATCGTCGACTCCTGGGCAAATTTGGGAAGTGGGGGGGAAGACGGAACCCCAGAACAGATGGATTTGTGCTTGTTTACTTGTGTGTCCCTTGGCCCCTCTACCGATGGCGGAGGGAGCCTATGTTGTGCCGCCCTTCGTCCACGGAGGCGCGATCGCCGAGATCCCTGGCGCGCCCCCCTGGCCTCCCCGCGCCGTGCCGCCGACACCACGGCGAGAGGCCTCTGGCCGCCCTGGGCCTCCTCCTGGGGCCCCCCGCTGGGGCCCCAGGAGTCGTCAACGAGCACGGGCTCAGGGTGAGACGCGGGTCCCCAGGGAGGGGGAAGAAGTAGGAAGGGAAGGACTATGAAAAGGAAGGGAGGAGGAGGAGGAGGAGGAGGAGGAGGAGGGAGGAGGAGGAGGAGGAGAGGAGGAGGAGGGAGCAAGGAGCAGGAGCAGGAGCAGAGGACGAGGAGGAGGAAGAGGAGGAGGAGGAGAGAGAAGGAGGAGGAGGAGGAGGGGGGAGGAGGAGGAGGAGGAGGAGGAGGAGGAGGAGGAGGAGGAGGAGGAGGAGGGAGGAGGAGGAGGAGGCGGAGGCGGAGGCGGAGGAGGAGGCTGAGGCGGCGGCGGAGGCGGAGGCGGAGGAGGTGGAGGAGGAGGAGGAGGAATAGTATTAATAATAAGAATACTAATATTGCTATTCTGAAGAATACTGAGAGTATAATAATAATAATAATACTACTAATACTATTATTAATACCAATAAGAAGAAACATAGCAATCATAACAATACTAATTATTACACTACGAATACTACTAATGCTACTACGAATACTACTCATACTACTAATAATACTTTGTACTAATCGTACTAATGATACTACTAGTTCTAATAATACCAATGATAATCATACTACTTAATAATACTAATACTACGAATAATAATACTAATAAGAATACGAATAATAATGCCAATAATAATACGAATGCGAATAATCATAAGAATAAGAAGACACATAATAATGATAACAATACTAATAATCAGAGTAATACTAATAATGCTATTAGTAATAATACTAAGAAGAAGAATAATCAGAAGAAGAAGAAGAAGAAGAGGAGGAGGAGGGGGAGGAGGAGGAGGAGGAGGAGGGGGAGGGGGAGGGGGAGGAGGAGGAGGAGGAGGAGGAGGAGGAGTAGGAGGAGGAGGAGGAGGAGGAGGAGGAGGAGGAGGAGGAGGAGGGAGGAGGAGGAGGAGGAGGAGGAGGGCGCGATCCCGCGGATGCGCGGTCGCAGAGGTACGCTCCGTGCGGGGCACCGGTGACAGAGACGTCCCCTGTCCGCGGGGTCGCGGCTCAGGGGCCCGGCCCGCGAGGCCGCGGACACGGATACCCCTTTGAGGCTCACGACGCAATCAACACGGAAGGTCTTGGCACTTTTCGGCCTTCTGGGGCTCTGGCCAGGCCTCGGGTCTGTCAAAAAAAGGGCACGGGATGAAACGCGGATCTTGGGGACAGCGTCGGGATTTCCCGGGACCGCCTACTGGACAGCAGGAGCGCGTACATCGGATCTGTGGGCCCTCCCCCTCCTCCTTCTTCTCTTCCTTCCGGGGACACGTAAGGCTCGAGTTTGTCGCAGTTCGCGTATGGCCGCCGCTTTTTGGCGGCTCCTGGTGTGAGATTTCAACGGTCCAGTCTTCGTGACATGCTTGCACTGTGGCTGCGGCGGCCGCGGGCTGCATGGCTGCGCCAGACGGGCACGGCAATCTGGGCATTCGTAGTTCTGCTGCCCGGTGGGAGCAGTGCGAGGCCCTGCAGCGAACGCAATTAGCTACGGCCAATGGGCCCGCGCTCCTTTCGGCCCCGTTGGGAGCCTCCGCTGCCGGCGTCGTTGTCGTCGTCTTTCGTCGTCATTGGTGTTCGTCGTCGCCGAGAAGGTCGAGGATACGGAGGAGGCGAAGAGTGGACGGCGTCGGCGTCGTCGGCGGCGTCGTCGCCGCCGGCGTCGCCGCCGTCGTCGCCGTCTCCGTCGCCGCCGCCGCCGCTGCCGTCGTCGTCG